AATTCGAAACTATTAGTTATTTACTAACTACTTTGGGAGTTTCAATAGTTAATGGCTATACCCGATAACTAAACCTTCTTCCAATAGATACTGTGTTGTTTGTTATTCTTATTTATTTTCTTTTTTTTTTTATTTAGTTTATTTTTTTATTTTTATTTTTTATTTTTTTATTTATTCATTATTATTTTATTTTTATTTTTTATTTTTTTATTTATTCATTATTATTTTTATTATTTTTATTATTTATTTATTTTTATTCTATTTTATTTTTCTTCTTTGAAAATAACGTTTTTGACTGAACCTTTATGTGGTAAGAAATTTTGTTAGTAATCTTATTTTAGTTTTTGAACTAACCTGAAGTTTTTTTCGAAGTTGTTTATAGGTAAATTGATCCGCTATAATAGATAAAATTTGGGTTTTTCCATTTTGACCACGTTTATTAACCATTAGAGCATTTTGAAAACTATTCCAGAAAGTGTTTTCTTCTAAATCTTCTGAGTTTTCTGAGCTTTCTGAATCTCTGAGTTCCAATTATAAGTACCTAAATTCATATAACATTTTCAAATTAGCTTTGTCAGTAGTTGGATCTTTTGACCGACTCCAAAATTCTTCTTTATGTTCAGATTTGGAATATGGTGTTATATCAGCGCATCCACATGAAGATAACATTCCTCTCCAGGCTCGAAGTTCATTCTCATTCAATTCATAAGTAGATGGATATATAATAGAAAGTGCATAATGGAACTCGATTATTGTATTTTCTTGACGTATCCAAGTAATAAACAAATTTTGCCAGTTTTCTAATAGATTAGTTGCTATTTTTCAGCGTTTTATTTGTTGTTCAAATATATTTTCCATTGTATAAGGATCATCCCAGTTTTCTGAAGTGCAAGTTACATAAGAATCGGCTAAATTTGTTTGTAATATATGTTGCACACTAGGGTGATTAAAACCATAAAGCGATTCGCCATCAAGTTGCATTGCAATTCCAGCTTGAGCCCATACACCATTAGCAGACTGATCCTCATAATGCCATAATATTTGTTCGCCCTTATAAAAATCCAAAGTAAAGACATTATGGTTTATTTTTTGTAAAGCGAGGGTTTTTTGGCTCTTTTTTGTTAACACTGATGATGTAAATTTTTGATCTTCAATTTTTGACACCACTACAACATGTTTCCCTATATTTAAAAAAAGAGGCCTAAATACTACTCCAGTTAATAATTTTTTGACTATTTTTTCATCGTTAAATCTGAGAATTGCAGGTCCCGAATATGCTGTTTTCTTTCCAAAAATAATATGATACACACTATTAACAGCCTGGGAAGGCGTTAAACAAACCTTACTTGTTTCATTACCACTAGCACAAATAAAGCCAGGTTGCAATTTATTTTCTTCATTTTGGACTACTTTTATAAAAAATTGCCATTGGTTAAGTACAATACTAATATGCATATGAAGTCGATACGGAACAGAAACGGAGACATTGTTATTAGATGGTCTGGGTGACCACCAATCACGAGCATAGGGGCCATA